TAAAAGGTGCTATGCTTCGCATCTCATCAGTATATTGGCAGTTCTCCTTTTAACTGAGTGTATTATCACCCTAGAAGTTTTTTTACCACTCAATTTTCAGAAGAGCTAGATGCAGATACAGTTCTGACACCATGTTGCCATGAGGAAATGTCTTCATTATAGAATTGGTCATACCTGCTGCAGCACAGACTGCCTTGAAGTTTTACATACTTTTATCCTTGCATTTAATCTGTAACAATTTGTTGCAAGTCACGAATGAGATTGCATCTGATTGCAGTCCAAACAACTTAAGGTATCTTAGAGATGCATTTACAATTTACAACATTTAAGCCAATTATGTCCTTTGTTTAGGTTACCTCATTTTAATCGTTCTACTTTACATCTGTCCGTTAGAAGAATCCATATTCTCATTTATCAGTGGACATTTTAAACAAATATTGTTTCATGCCATTGTAGGATTGTGTGACCTGATTGCCATTTTGGAGCTGATACTCTACTCCCTGATACTTCTGGTCACTGCCAATCATTTCTGTCACTGACCTTCGTCATTGCATCTTTGTTCTTAGATGTCACCACATTTCAGTGTGAGGAGGGGCAGAGAATTAAAATGATAGGCGATCGGAAACTCAAGGTTATACCTGTGGACTGAATGGACGTGGTCCATAATTTGGTCACCCGATCTAAATTTGCTTTCCCAAGTGTAAAGGAGATCACAGCATTAAACCGTGCATGAGTAAACTATATTAAGCCCATAAGACATAGGAGCAGAAATTAGGTCATTCTGCCTATTAAGTCTGCTCCACCATTCATGGCTGATAAGTTTCTCAAACCCATTCTCCTGATTTCTCCCTGTCACTTTTGATCCCCTTGACAATCAAGAATCTATTTATCTCTGTCTTAAATATACTCAATGACCTGGCCTCCACAGCCTTCCGTTGCAATGAATTCCATAGATTCATCACTCTCTGGCTGAAGAAGTTTCTCCTCATCTCTGTTCTAAAGGGTCTTCCCTTTACTCAAAGGAAGTGCAAGTGAATGTTGTTTCCAGTTGAATACCATTGGTCAGCTTATGGACATTGCATTTATCTACTTAAATACCTACATTTCAAAAATAAGTCCCTGAAGCATTTAAGATAACAAGTAAGCATTGACAATTTGTACCAGATGCGATCAGTATTGACTGTAGTGTGCATAGTGCTCCATTTTAAAGTGCCTAGATTATCTCTCCCCTTACGGTTGTGAGTTTTTGGTTTCTTATCTGTAATGAGCTTGCTTTCTTCATTGAGCAAATTCATCCTATTCTCCCAGTCTTCTTCCTCCAGCACTTGCAAAAACTCTCAGTACACATACCTCCATATCTCAATATTCGCAGCTTTACTGGTGTACCTGTTGTCCTTTCACACAGTTCTTCCATCTCAGTTTTCTTTTAGAAATGGGAAGGGGTTAAAATTGTACTTAGTATTTCAAATAAGGTCTTACTGAAGTCCAGAATAATTTTACTTATCACAGTTACAGATTTATAATGAACGGTCTGTGCAGTACACCCCAGGGTTGTATTTTTATTGGCCTCAGCTTTCTAATATTATAACAATAACTTGTACCAGTATAGTGCTTTTAAAGTAGTTAAACAAGAGTTACAAAGCATGATTTGAAACTGAGCCACATAAGGTGATGTTAGTGCTGACGGCCCAAAGTTTGATCAAAGAGAGAGGTTTAATGAACACCTTAGGAAAAAATATTGAGTACTGGAAAGATTTAAGAGATGAAATATAGAGTTTAGGGCCTCAGAAGCAGAGACTTGATTGTCAATGATATAGCAAGTAAAATCAGAAATATTCAAAAGACCAGGATAGACGAGCGCGAATATCTTGGAGGGTTGTTAGGGTTGGGGGCGATTTGAGATAGGGCTGAAAATTCGAGAAATAATTATTCATTGCTCTTCATATCTGTTACCATCTTCCAAGATCCCATCAGTGCTCTACATTTGTTATCAATGAACATAGCTACTTTATGCCAAATTCCTTCTCCAATTTATTGATGAAAATATTTGGAAAAGATCCATCACTGAACTAGGGCAACTGACACACAGCCAGATCTTATTGAGAAGGTATAATTTTAAAAGCAGGTTTTGCTTACAGTCCTTTGGCTAGTTTGTTGCTCTTTTTCCCATTTCACCCCCACAATCAAAACTGAAGCTCACTCTGCCCCACATAGCACTTTTGAACTACATGTGTGGAACAGACATATTGTTAGGTGAGGTTACATTTCCATTGTTGGTTGTCCGTCTTTTCAGACATGACTGTCTTGATGAGCTCATAATATCATGGCTACTAAGTTACGGGTGCTATCTTGACCAATGGGTATTTGTATTCAATAAGCAAAGAAGTTGGTTAAGTTAATGAATGAGTTCATTTGTAGTTTTTGCATGAATTCAGGTTGCAATCTCTCTTAGCTCACAACCACTAATGAAAGCAAGAAAAAGTGAAGCCACAGAAATCGTGAACATCCTGTGTACTAAATCACAGCTTACATTAGCAAACTGTAACTAAATGCACCCACGTCTTGGGAAATAATTGTTTTTCTTTGTTAGATTTATCTATTTTTTGTTGCTATGCTACAGAGTAGTTCAGATCATTAACAGAAATGGTAGCCAAGTTCTTTTTGGCTTCCAAGTGCATCCTCTTCCCCTCTTCAAGCGTGAGCAGTCTGTTTCCATGGCATTTTATTATTCTAAGTTAAAGAGTCGACTGCATTGTTTCACAGATGGCTTCTACCTTTAATCAAAGAAATTATATCTGATTTTTCTTGTTCTTTTAGGAAACAAGTTTCTTATCATTCATCATGTATTCAAATTGATATTTATATTAAATGTGCTATTTCTTAGAGAAAATCTTGAAATTTCCAGTAGTTTGATACATGATTGTTAAATGGCAAACTCATGTTTTCCTACCAAAGATCTGTTGTAAAAAAAAAAGATTTGTTTGTTTTTGGGTAAGAGCATTAAATGAAACTTAGATCTGTATCCTGCTCACTCCTAGCTCTTGTGGATATATTGCATCCTACAGAATGGAAACAAACAGGATCATGGCCCGGCTTGCAGTAACCTTGGAAACATTAGTAGCTTTTCATGAGGCTTAATATACAATGAGATGCTCAAGTGTCAAAAGGATTAGGGATTTTCTTTAGCAATGTGCTTTATTTTCCCCTGTCAGTGGGCAGATGAACAAGAGAGTAAGGTGAATGTTAGGTTGAACTTTCTTTAATCTCTTGTAACTCTTATGTTCTTCTTGTGCTCAAAATGATCTGGAAGTTTGAGTTTAATGCACTGTGCTAACAAGTAGCCTCATGTTTATGCATAACCTACTTTTTTGACATGTGCTTGGAGGGAAAAAACAGATTAAGCCATCAATGTTTGGATGTCAAAATAAAATTAACCAAAGTAAAGTTTTACTTTTTAAAAAAAAAACCCATAAAAGAATGGGCAGAGCGTAACTAGGTTTCTTCAGTTTCTGCAAGTTTATGCGCCATTCAGCCCCTGTGATTTTATAGTTATTTACTTTAAGCTACTGCTGAAGCTTTATTATTTTTCAATAAAAAATCTATAAGAGACAAGTTACTGCCAAAGAATATGGAGTCAGAACTGACCAAAGAGACACAGGAAATATTAAATTTTTAAAAAGTGCTGGAGTTACTCAGCAGATTTGGCAGCTTCTGTGGAGAGGGAAACAGAGTTAATATTTTGAATCCAATTATATTTCTTCAAAACTCATTGCTACAGTAACCGTAATATTGCTGCAGTTTCAGTAAGCAGGCTTCATGAATGCTATCGTGTTAGATGTGCACAAATTGACAGTGAAGGTATTTATGAAGAAATTGTCAAGTAGGCAACAGTTCTCATGTTCCATATGAAAATGTACAAGCATTTTTGGTTTATAAATAGCTAGTAGTTTACTCACAAGTGCATTCCATAATCTCAGTACAGCATAATGTACAGGTGAAAAGATGATAACAATACCAAAATCTTCACCCAGAAATTCTCTGACAAGGATCAGATATTATACATTTTACATCTGTAAAATTGCATTTTTTGATGCTTTCAACTCAGTTTTGTCTTGGATTTACTGGAAGCTGTATATAAATAGGTATTAATATAGAGAGCCCTGTTCTTTACAGGCAGAAAGAACATGTACATACACTGCATCTATTTAAAGTCAACTAAATAGGTTACAACCATTCTCTGATTCATTTCTTAGGTAAATACCTTGACTAATCAGTTTAAAATTTAAACAAAACTTGGTAGTTAGCTATCAGTTATCATCAACAATCTAACAATTGCCCCAGAACCCACTTGCCAACCAAACAGCACTGTCCTTTCATGCAGTATAAATATTGTTTTCCGTTTACTTTGTTAATTTATTATGAATTGTCCTGAAGACACCAGGTGTCTTTTTTAAAATTCATTCACGGGATGTCGGTGTCACTGGCCAGGCCAGCATTTATTGGCCATCCGTAATTGTCCTGAGGGAGTTGAGAGTCAACCACAATGTTGTAGGTCTGGAATCACATATAGGCCTGACCAAGTAAGGATGGCAGTTTCCTTCCCTAAAGAACATTAGTGAACCGACAGAAAATATGATTGCCCTGAAATTGGATTTCAAAGAATAGAACAGGATAAATCAGAAGGTAATTTTTCTGTCCCAGACCATTAATGTGCTGCTGCTCTGTGCAAATTGAACAATAACAATTTGGGGGTAAAAAACATTATTATGTGATTTAATAATGGCTTAACCATATCTGATATGTCATAGGATCGTATCTTTGGAAGTCTTTGAATCCAATCTGTTAGGAGTACATGACTGCCCATGTAGTTCCTCCATCTTAGTCAAAAACTACTGACAGGATGGCAGTGGAAGTCGTGAGTATTAGTGATTTTTGACTAACTATGTTGTATTCTATAAAACGTTGCTGTAAATCACATTCCTTAACTCAGTGCACTATAGTTGTGAGCCAGTGGGCAGTGTTTACCATTCGAATCCTTACAGAACAGAACATGAAGAATCAAGAAGTGATATCCCAGATGTCATATCAGGGTGTGGCAGATAGTGCCATGCTAAACAACATGGGATTACAAGTTGAAGAGAGAGATGGAAAACTTTATGTCAAGTCCCACGGAAAGAGTTCATAACTTCATGGTGAGAAGGGTTCTGAAAACTTTGCCACAACAGGATTTATCAGTCTGTTCTTCCAGCCATTTGTCACACCGAGAAAAATATAGACTGAAGAGAACAAAGTGGAGCAGTGATGGAAATGTTTTTTTTGTTTAAAGCACACAATACTATTTATTATCCTTTCGGTTGTCATCGGTCTGGAATGGTATTAGCAGTTTCATGGCACTGTGATATGCAGGCTGAAGACTGACTAACAATAAAAGTATTAACTGTACAAAAGAATGGCTAATGCCAAGAGTGTTCTGAATCCAGATTATTCCAGATTGAAATCTAATTTTACAATACATCACTGTGAATTGTACACCACGATGCCAAATGTCAAAATATTAATTGTAGACTTGATTGGGAGTAGAGAGATGAGGGGAAGTTAATCAACATGAAACACCCTAATAATGTCTTGAAGATTTCAAAATGAGCTAATTTAAGAGCTGTTTGGTTTAACGTACTAAGAGACAAAAGTGGAAATTATTTAGTATGCATTGTATCTTCAGAAAAGTTTGCCAAATCAAACTAAAATACGTGGCCATTAAAACTAGCATAAGATTATCACATTGATTCCATAGGATTAAAGGCCACAATTAGCTACACAGACTTTCTATGTATAAGAAGTGTTTGTGATTACGTATAAGCAGATTCCAGTTGTTTAATTATCATTCAAAACAAAAATAACCACTTATACTTTAATAACATCTTTCAACTTTTTCATTTGTTTATGTTTGCATTAGTGTTGATAACTGTTGTGCTTACTGATCTACATGAAGTGGCCTTTTGAAATATATTGTTGCCGAATCCTATGTTTTAAACACCAAAAACAAAGGAAAAATAGAGTTCTGACAGCTGCATTTGTCGGTTAGATTAAAAGGACCTTGTTAAGTGGAGGCTGTATGGTAAGAGATGCTGATCATTTGCATTGATGGAAATTTTTCATTAGAGTGGTTTGTTTTTGGTCTATGGTTAAGAACATAGGTACCTAATGTGTTGGAATGAACTGTCTGTATGTAATTACATAGAGTTCTAGAACATCCTTGGTGAAGAAACTTGGAACCAGAGAACCTGAAGTTGCTAATATGGTGGGTGTAAACTAGACAAGTGCCATAATGAGCGATGCTAACCTGATGGAAAGGGCAAAACGTAAGCACTATTACTGATTTCCCTTAGTTTCCTCCTCTTCCCCATTCCCACTAGATTCTTTTCCTCCATCTCCATTCGCCCATCCCTGGTCTTGCTTCATTTTATTCCCTCCTTTTCTCCATTTTCTCCCCCTTCCTTGCTTCACTTTTCTCTCCTTTACTCCCGTTCTCTTCCTTTTCTCCTATTCTTCTTTTTCCATTATTCTTCATTGAAGCTCTCAATAAATGCATGCTCACTCTAGACTGCCATATTTAACAATTCATGCGCAAATATAAAGTAAATCATGCTGTATTTGTTAAGTGTCTGTAACATTGCATATATTCCAAGACAGCAAATTGAAACCTATTGAAGTTGTGTTATATTGATGCTTGTATTGCATGTGGGGATTGTGATGGGTTAAGTAGCAGATGCAGAGGATAGTTTCAAAATGTACAATTCAGCATGGGATCAAAAAAGTCGAAACAACTACCTCATTCACCTTCCCTTTCTCTCAGTAGTGAGTGACATTAACAGTTCATTAATCAGGTGGATCCTGCACAAAATTGAGTTGGTTATCACCTTAGTGGTAGAAAAAAAATGACAAAGGAGCTGCTCCCATTAAAAAAAATCCACTTTAAAATTTTAAAGGGAATGTTTTTTCTGAGTATTCTTTGTGCACTTTGGCTTGGTTACGCAATGGTCGGTCAAGTTGAAGCAGTACATTCGATGCTAGCTCTACCCATGAAATGCAAGAAAAATTACATCAAGGTCCAAACCAAATGGAAGTCTGATTTAAATATGTTAATATGGCAGTCAGCTATTCCGGGCAGAGCCCTGGCTGCACCAGTTGGGGAATTCGCAATTATTTTATTGTGCAGGCCTCAGGGAGCAAATCAGCATTGATGTTTTTAGAAGTAGTTCACCTGGCTATCGTGAAAAGTTGGTGTCATAGAGAAACAAATCACCCCACAGAATTAACAGCTTTTCAGATAGTAAATATGCAAAACTGATAAGTGTACTTCAGGTTGAAAGTATGCACATGTCTCTAATCAAAAGCATCCAAAATCAATACACACTAGGGGATCCAATTGAGACATGAAATAATTTTTTGTATGGGACCTTCCAGTGTTAAAATATCAATAGTTGAGTGTCAGTAATATCTACCATGTGTGTTAATGACAGTTTAATATGGTTCCCATTCTAAAAGTCAGTGTAATGTCACAGATCATATAATAGGCTCAGTCATACTACCAGATTGAGCTACAGAGCTTCCATACCCCCAGAAAGAGACAGAAACATACTTGACCTCAACCTCACTCATCTGCCTGCTACAGATGCACCTGTTCATGACAGCATTGGTAAGAGTGACCACTGCACCGTCCCTTTGGATTCAAAGTTGCATCTTTATATCAAGGATACCTTCCATTGTGTTGTGGGGCTCTGTCTGGGATAGACTTTGAACAGGTCTAGTAATAATGATTAGACATCCATGATGTACTGTGGGCTTGCAGATTGCACTCAAACACAATCTATAATCTAATGGCCTAACATATCCCCCCCTGTATCATTACCACAAAGACAGGACGTCCACCATAGCTCAAAGAAGAGTGCAGGAAGATGCTTGGAGCAGCACGAGGCATGCCTAAAACTGAGGCTTAAGTCTATTGAAGCTACAAATCAAAACCAGTTATGTGCCAAATAGCATAAAAAGCAGGTGATAAAGCCAAGTGAACCTACAACCAATGGATTGATCTAAGCTCTGCAGTGCAGCCACACCGAGCCGTGAATAATGGTGGACAATTGGACAACTCGGTGGAAGTGGAGGCTCCACAATTATCCCCATCCTCAATAATTGGGGAGGCCAGAACAGCGGGTTAAATGATGAGGCTGAAGCATTTGCAACAATCTTGATACGAAGTTCCAGATGGATAATCCATTTCAGCTTCTTTCTGAAGTCCCCAGCTTCACAGATGTAAACCTTCAGCTGATTTGGTTCACACCATGTGCTTTCAAGAAATGGCTGGAGGCACTAAAAGGCTCTGGGCCCTGATGACAAGCCAACAATAATACTGAAGGTGTGTTATCCAGCCAAGCTGTTCCAAAACAGCAACCCGCCACTGTGGAAAATTGTCCAAATAGGTCCTGCACACAAAAAGCAGGATCAATCAAACCCAACTAATTACCGCCCCATCGGTCCACTCTCGATCATCAGTAAAATGGTGGAAGGTATTATGAACAGTACTATTAAGCAGCACCCACTCACCATTAACCTCCTCACTGACAGTCAGATCCTGCCAGGGCCACTCAGTCCTTGACCTCATTATGGCCTTCATTCAAACATGAAAAAAAGAGCTGAATTCCATAGATGGACGTGTCTGCCCTTGACATCATTTGAACAATTATAGCCTCAAGCAGCCCTAGAAAAATTAGAGTCAATTAGAATTTGGAGGAAATTCTCCAGCCAATGGAGTGATAAGTGTCACAAGGGTAGATGGTTGTGGATGTTAGTGGTCAGTCATGTTAGCTCCAAAGCATCTTTTCAAGCATTTCTGAGGGTAGTGTCCTAGGCCCAACTATCTTTAAGTTCTTCATCAATGTCTTTCCCACCAGTGTAAGGTCAGAAATGAAGATTTCAATGAAAACTGCAGAATGTTCAGCATCATTCACAACTTGTCAGATACCAAAGCAGCCCATTTCCAAATGTGTCAAGACCTGGATGACATTCAAGCTTGAGCTGACAAGTTGCACATGAATGACATTTGCACGATGCAAGTGTGAGGCAATAACCATCTTCAACAAGAAAGAATCTAACCATTGCTCCTTGATATTCAATGTCATTGCCATCACTGGATCTCCTACAATCAACTTTTTGGAGATTACCATTGACCCAAAAATGAAGCAGACTAGCCATGCAAATTCTATGGCCATGAGAAGATCTGAGACAAGGAATCCAGCAGCATGTAACTCGCTACTTGACTTCCCAAAGCCTATCCACCCTTTTCATTAAAAAGTGCATACACATCATTGCAGTTACAAATTACTTGAGCTTACTTGATGCAAATAATCACAGAGAAAATTATGATTTATTAGCAAAGCAGTGTGTTAGCAGTAGTCAGTATCATTTTCATCACTCTCTGCACATGCATCACATTCATAGAAACCATAGAAATGACGCAAGATAGAAGGGGGTCATTTGGCCATCTTTTCTATGCTGACCCGAAGACCCCCACATGCCCTTTCTAATCTCATCTTCCTGAACACAGCTCATAGCCCTGCAGCTTACAGCACTTAAGGTACAGATCCAGGTATATTTTATCAGAGTTCAGGGTCTTTGCCTCCACCACCAACTAAGGCAGTGAATTCCAGACACCGACCATCCTCTGCACAAAAACATTTTTCCTCACGTCCCCTCTAATCCTTCTGCCACATGGCTTGAATCTATGACTCCTTGTTTTTTAACTCTCTGCCAAGGGAACCAGGTTCCTCCTGTCTACTCTATCTCTATCCTTCATAGTTTTGTATACCTCAATCATGTCACCCCTCAGCCTTCTCTGTTACAAAGAAAACAACCCCGACCTCTCCCATCTCTCCTCACAGCTACAATTCTTCAGCCCTCACAATATTCATGTAAATATTCACTGCAGTCTCTCCAGAGCAACTATGTCCTTCCTGTAATGTGGTGACCAGAACTGCACATAATACCCCAGTTGTGGCCTCCACCAGTGTCTTATACAGTTTGATCATTATGTCCCTTCTTTTGCATTCTGTACCTCTGCCAATGAAGGAGAGCAAGAATTCTTGACAACCTTATCTACCTGGACTGCTGCCTTTAGGAGCCTGTACACTTGCATGCCAAATTCACTCACTTCATGAGCCCCTCTCAGTATATTTCCATTTATTGTGTATTTTTACTGTTTGACCTTCCTAAAGTTATTATCTCACACTCACCAAAGTTGAACTCCATCTGCCACTTTCCTGGCCACTCCGCCAACCCATCTACATCATTTTAGAGCTTACAGCTATCCTCTACACTATCCATTACATGGCCAACTTTTGTGTCGTCTGCATATTTCCCAATTGTGACAACACCCCCCTCCCCACACCCACCTTCAAGGCCAAATCATTAACTTATAAAACAAACAGCAGAAGTCCCAACACCTGTAGAACACCGTTTGAAACAGCTTTCCATTCACAGCCATAGACCATTACCCTTTGTTTCCTGTTACTGAGCCAAATTTGGATCCAATTCAATAAATAACCGTATATTCCATGGACTTTTACTTCGTTGACCAGTCTGTCATGTGGGACCTTGTCAGATTCCTTAATAAAATCCATGTAGACAACATCCACTGCACGACCCTCATCGATTCTCCTTGTCACTTCCTCAAAGAATTCAATCAAATTTGAAAGGCATGACCTTCCCTTTACAAAGTCATATTGAGTATACTTGACTGGTCGGCGCCTTTTTAAGTGGCAGTTTATCTGATCTCTCAGGATTGATTCGAATAATTTGCCCACCACCAAACTAAGACTAACTGGCCTATAATTGTTTGGCACTTCCTTTGTACCTGTTTTAAACAGCAGAACCACACTTGCATTCCTCCAGTACTTTACCTGTCTCTAGTGAAAATTGGAAAATAATTTTCACAGCATCTTCAACAGCTATTTCCTCCCTGACCTTCGCTGCCCGAGGGAGCAATCCATCCAGCACCGGTGACTTATCCACTTTCAAGGATTCCAATTCTTCTAATACTTCCTCTCTCACTCTGATTATTTTGTTCAATATTTCACATTGCTCCTCTTGGATTCTATATCCACATCATCCCTTTCCTTTGTGAATACAATGTCAAAAAATTCATTTAAAATCCTTCCCATACCCTCCACATCGTCACACAAGTTCCCTTTTACATGTCTGATAGGTCCCACTTTTTCCTTAACTATCCTTTTGCTCTTTATGCTCTTTAAATTGTGCAGGTCTCCAAATGGTACCCGAACGTTATCATTGTCTGCTTCTGTGATATCTGTTCATTCCCAAGTTGATGTTCCTTGTCCAGTGATGTTTTTGATCCATTTCCATGTTGGGAAATGATGGACCTCTGAAATTGATGGTCATTCTGTACTCTATGCTGGTGAGATTGTGTCTTCCTGATCAGCTGCCTGCAGTGAAGGAATATCTCCTCTAGTAGTACATAGATATCTGCAGTTATTCCAATATAGACGATCAGTCATATTTACTGTGTGCCATTGAGATAATAACTGCTCTGCACAGGTTCAAGTTGCTACAAGGGCTGAGCTTTATTGAGAGCATTGAATATTTTGCCATTTGACTAGCTCTCCAGTGCTCAGTTCTGCCAATGAAATAGATCCCTGTCACTTTACCTTGATATTGTCAGTCATGCCTTGACAACTTCTTTCTTCTGTAACTTTTTTTTGTCATTGGGAGAGTAGTTTGGGTGCAGCATAACATTAGTCTTTGGATTGGACTACTTTCCATGCCTTCATTAAGTTATCTCTCCACTCAATGATCGCCTTGTACAAGTCTATGTTGGATTTTCTCAATTTCTTTATGATCCCTTTGATGATTTTCTTGCTGCCTCAACCTTTCTATTTAACTGGGGATAGCATGGGAATAATGTATGGATT